TCAATTTACCCGAGCAACTACCTTATTCTTTTTCTTTACTTCTGCTCTCATATTTAAAAAAAAAAAAAAAAGTTCAAGGCATACATATTACCTTTGCTAATTTTAAAAGAGAAAGAAAACGTGCAGAATCGAAAGCTCAAATAGCTCACTTTAAAAGCACTTGAGAACAAGAGAAAGTTTTATGTGATTACATTAATAGCAGTGACAAATGCATATAAAACACTTAACCACGATCTGTGATGCAAAGAAAACCCATTTAGGTGTCATTCATCTTTTTCACATTAGTACAATGAGTACTCTCTGCTCTATCTTCTTCTCCAACAACACTTGAATTAGAATGCTGCATTTTCCAGAAGCAATCCTCCTAACTTTTCTTTGTAGTATCCTTTCATAGAAATGGTTAAAACTCTGAAACCCAAAATATAAAACAATATTTTTTTCTCCAAATTTGATTTCTCAAAAAAATATTATTTTTTGGAAACACTTTCTCTTTGAAGGGACATGATTTTTATTTACCAATTTGTTATCTCTTGTACTTTTCCTCCAAACAAAATAAATGATTCAAAAATAAGCTAGAACCCCTGATAAGGTATTTCCAAGGTCAGAATCATGAATAGAAGAGAAATAAAGGATTGTAAAGAAAACAGCAAGAAACTTTAGCAATAGTCCTCCAAAGCCCTCCCTCCTCCATCAGGTTTTACAGGTGAGAGAAACTGTATGATGTGGTGAGGGAAAAATAAGGAAATAAAGGATTTTATTGCAAGTCAGGCTGTCTGTCTCTGTGACTTGGCAGGCCAAGCCTTCTGTTTCCATCTAGAAAGAACAAGAGTTGGACTTGAAGCTTTCATTGTACCTTTCATCTCCAACTTACCTGAAAATTAGTCCTGGAGAAGTTACTTCTGCCAAGTCATTTAGCTAGTTAGAGGCAGGGCCAGACTAGATGGAGGCTCTCTAGAGGAATCGTTAAGATTTTTACAGCTTCCTTTGGGTAGAGTGATCTGTGAAAAACTTTATTCTGCAGCCTAATGTAGGTGTCCATCTTTCTGAGCTGCTTTGTTTCCCCATACTTCTTTACAGTTCTGTCCTTTGTTTTCCACTTTTCCTTGGAAGGTCAAATTGGCCTGTGTAAGATAACCCAGCACTAGCAGCTGGCTCATTCTGACTGTGAAAGTGGGAACCCTTGAAAAGAGCAGTCTGTTTATTAAGGGGAGGAAAGAGGTAGTGCCTTACTAGAGCAGAAACTAGAAAGCAGGTATGTAAGAGCTTTGGAGGGTAGGGATGGAGAATCAGACCCTCTTTCTCCACTGCAACCTCATCCCTTCCCCACAGCTCTACAGGGAGACTCCGTGGACAGGAGGACCAGTGTTGGCTGTCTTTCCTCTTTGCCCTCCAAATAAACATTTAAAGACTCCCAAAGGGATTCTTGCAAGCTTGAGTTTCTGACATGGAAGGAAATGTTTCCAGATATTAAAATGTTTAGAAAATCACAAGCTTCAACATCACACAGAAAAATACTTATATTCGAAACTTAGAGGGAGCATTAAATAAGTGGCAGAAAATTTTGGTTATGCCAGATATGAATGCCAGTACTATAGGAAAGAACCTCATAAAACATACCAAACCCAGGCAAAAATAAAACAATCAAAAATAGAGTATCACTTAAACTATCGTAGGCCCATAAATTCAGCTCCAAAATTATAAGCCAACACACATACCATATTGTTCAACTGAGCCTGAATGGGGTAAATTAGCAAAAAACCAAAAAGCTTTAAAAAGTAGCATATTGAAGTAGAAAAAGAACTGCAAAGCTACAAAAGTCAGAATACGTAACTATCTGGGAAGAAATGCCAACAAAATATGTGCTTCTCCTTTTTAAAGATTCTGGATTACAGAGCGCATTTGAGACAGTGGATGACTCAATATGGGTGGGTAGGTTCAGTGTGTTTGACAAATAAGTTTTGCTTCTCACCAGGACATTTGGATGCTACATAAATAGAAAACTTCTTTTCATCTTGAGAAGCATAAGGAAATGCTTTCTCAGAGTGAATATTTTCCTCAAATCACTTGGAAAGGAGAAAGAACATTTATTTCCCTGTTTCTCATATCTAACAAACTCTATTGACCTCAGGTTGAACTTGAAAACACTGTTCTAGTACAGCCTCTTTATACATTTCCAAAGTTGCCTTTCGTTCCATCTGTCCGTGGTTTTAGGAACATCTTCTCCTGAATACCTCTCACTTCAAAGAACACATTTGTATGTCGTGGAGATGGAGGGTAGAATCCTCTCTGGTGTAAATGCCAGTGTGCCACGCTGCCCACAAACAAACCTCTGTGATTTCTGATTAGGCTGAGAGGCAACTGGTGTTAGAAAACTACAACAAATCTACCTCTGCAGATCTTGACTTATTTGCAATTCTTAAGACAGAGAACCACCTGGCACTACAAATGATTCAAAATGCTTTGCCCGCCATAATGCAAGTTAGGAAAACCGAAGTGAGGCACAGAGACAGCCTGACTGGTTGCATCTCCCTTTGAACCCTGTGTGAACCGTTGGCCATTTGTGATTGGTCAGCTGTTTGTTACAGGACTAGGTTGTAGATTGTTTACATATCATGTTCAGTTGCACTACTCTAGGTATGGAGCAACCATTAGGCCGAGCCTAAAATGTTAGGACGTAGCTTTCAGGTGAGTAATTCATTTGAACACTGGGTAAAATAAACCAAAGGCCATCTTGGTGTCCACTTTTTAAGTCAAGGTATTGTTTTTAAGTGGTTGATCCTACAGTTCACACTTGTGATCTGGAGGAAATCTTTGCGACATGTGTGTGCGAAGGAGGCCCCAGTGCAGGGCTCACTGTACCAGGCTGCTGCTCTTGCGGAAGGAAGAGCTGAATGTACAGCACAGGAGTTAGCGCCTGGGCTGGAAAGCAGCCTGGGAGGCCGTTCCTTCGGTGCTCCTCTGTTGCCAGGGCTAGCTGTTCCTAGCTAAAGAGGTGGTTCTGTTTTAGAAAGGTGATACTCTTGCTCTATAGTTTCTGCCTGCTGCTTACCTACGATGTTCAGAACACTTTGAGATTTAAAATTCAAAGTAATCGCTGTCATTAGACTTGTTTATTTCAAAAGGGTGTAGAGGAGGGGTCGATGACTACGTATGGGCTCTAAAGAGTAAAAAGGAATGGTCTGAAGGAGACAGATCAAGTGCTTATGTTTTCCAATTTATTTGCTCCTTGGCTGCTATTCTCTTTGAGTTCTTATTTAGTCTCTGACCCACAGTTGGAGCAAGAATACAGATCACTATCCTTAGAAGGAACCTGAATAATTAAAGGTCATCCAATATAACACCATTCTTTCCTATAACCTGCAAAGGAAAGGCCTTAGACCTAACAATGCTGTCCGGTTCCGTTTTGTAAAAGTAGAATTATAATTGTAACCCTAGAATGCTATGCTTTCTCCTCAGCATAGGCCTTGATACTCATTCTTCAATAGTTTCATTTATGTTTATTTGCCAGAGTATGTAATTAAGACATTCTGTTTCTTTGAAGAGCTGATGTTTGAAAATCTCTAATATTTGTCATTGTTTTCATTGCCAAATATATAAATATTTAATAGACAAATACATTTAACTGCCAAATAGATATTTAATTACATATATATTCCCCCATAACACATTCTGCTTTTAAAAACACTCAGGTTTTTCTCATGTTCTCTTTTACATCTAATCTCAAATACAAGATGCAATCATTTACTTATTATTTGCTTATTAAATACAATTGTATGAAAATTGAAGATCCTGTGAATGCGGTGTTGAAATTCCATGGAATTTGTATGGCAGCTCTTTTTTTGCTTGCCTGGAGATATGTTGGGAGAAAGGCAGAGAAATATGTGCACATTTCTGCTGTTGGGGAATGTTTGGTTGCAAGAATGGAAGGTTTTCTCTACTTTGAGGCTGGTAGCTTAGACTGAACAAGAGGGAACATGGGGTTAGGCTTTCCCAACCAATACAGACACTTCAACTCTGGATTGAGTTATCAGAACTAGATATGTTTGATTTTATATTACTCGTTGCTTTGTGTCTAAACAGCTTCCAACATTTTTTTCAGGTGATGTTAACTCAGAAAATAAAAATATTCCAATCACTGAGGGAGGCTGAAGCAGGAAGATCCAAGTTCAAGACCTGCTTGAGCAACTTAGCAAGTCTCTGTCAAAGAAAAAGAAAAGACCTGGGAATGTAGCTCAGTGGTATAGCACCCCTGGATTTGATGCACAGTGCTGAAATAAATAAATAAATACTGGCATAAACTTAAGAGTATTTGGAGAATATCTCAATAGTAGCACCAAGAAAAAAATATAAAATTTGTAGTATAGTTGAGAATACTCCACGCTGCATGTGACTTGCTCAAGGGCTTGTGCAGCATCGGATCCCACCTAGTTAACCAAGCCCTGACATCCTTGTCTCAAGTCCTAGCGCAGCAGTTCTGCTAAGGAGTTCACACAATGAGCAAAATTTTGTCTTTTCTCTCTATCTTGGTCAATTTCATTCGATAGCAAAACTATTTAATATAAACCCTAACACACACGGTTACTGGGTTCTAAAATGGCCTACAGGTGATGATCACAGCTATCGAGTATATGAAATAAAAATTTGACAATTGCATATCTGGGTTTATTACTGTTATTTCAACATGTATTAAAGGAAAAAGCTTATTATTCCTCATCTTCACCTCCAATTACTTTATCTACAGTCTGACTGTCTTTACATGTTACTCAGGATTGCCACCATTCCAAAATCATCACTTTCCTACCCCCAGTTAAAACTTCTGCTCTCAAATAATTATTAAAGTATTTCAGGTTAAGAGGGGAATGAAGCTTAACTCTATCCATTTAAAAGAGTTTGTGACTATAAATCAGTCCTTAATTACTAGAAGCACAGTGAAACAGTGGGCATTCTTAATTTTCTCACCAAGTCCCTCAGACTTTGTCTTTCTTTACCTCATTTTTCAGAGAATGAATATAGAGCAGCAATTTTTCTGTGCCAAAGAATCTTATGCTGCCCTCTCTCTTCCTCGCTGGAATTCTCACTCTTCCCATGTTCAGGAGAAAAGAGCCACCAGTTTGGGAGAGCGTATCTTGGTGCAGGTAGCTCAATTTTGAAAACTTAAATCGAAATTTGACAAGATGTGTTTCTTTTATCCCGTACTAAATTGTCTTGAGAGGTTTCATTTTGGGCTAAAAACAACAACCACAAAAATAAAACTATCTGAAATCTCAGCTTCATATTCAAGAATAGAGAAAACGTTCATAATGTCATGAAGATAAACCAGTTTAGCTCCTGTTTGTAGCTGATACTTGTTTGCACACTGATAGAACTGCCCAGAAATGGTATCAGGAGGACAGAAAAACCCGAGTTGGAATTTGAACAACTTGAATTTGAATCCTAATTTGGCCACTTCCTGGACGAGTGATTTTTGTCCTGATTTCTGAAGCTCCCTGAATTGTCTCTGCTTTCTCGTCTGTAAAATGGGCTATTAACCCACAGCAAATATGCTGATGTGCCAGTGAAATGAGATATGAAAGTAGCTGAGCACACAGAATTGCATTTATAGTAGTCTGAAATTAAGTGGATAGTGCTAGTTTCAAGTTTCTCTAGGACATTTCTTAGACCTCTCCACCCAGACACACGGTTTTGGATTTTGATTAGGAGAGTCGGATGTATCTTTTTCCATCCCCATCTTGGAGGAACATTTAATCAGGTCCCAGAGTTGTAATATCAAGGTAGGCTTCACCAGGGAGGCGAAGATCTCTACAGTGCTGCTTATACCATGTTGAAGATGTAGCAAAGCTGGGGTCAAGACCAACCTTAGGGTGCTTCCGTTTGTCCTCTCTCTTCAGAACTCAATCTCTATTCCTGGTGCATGTTAGAATTTCACATGGGATATAAAAGAAAAGTACTGATAGATAGCAAGGCTGTACCCTCAGAGATTCTGATTTAAATGGTCCTAGTTACATCTGACAACACTCAGGTTTTTAAGGTCTCAATTGATCCCAGTGTGCTGCCAGAGCTGAGATCCACTGGTCTGGACACTGCGGATCTCTCATCTTGACATATTAGAGGTCAAGGTTTCACTGGAAGTGTCTGATGGTCTAATACTTAAGAACCCTCCCTCCTCAAGTGTTTCAGTCATTGAGGAAAGAGCAGAATGACATGAGTTGGGTGATAACCTGTCTTCCAAACAAAACAAAACAAAACAAAAAACCAGCTCCACCTGGAACAAGTCCTAGGCGACAGTAAACACTCTTCCTGGCCTGCCCATGGGTTTCAATTTTCCAAGTAGCTGTTGCATAACAGAATACTGCAACTTTGTACAACATAACTCCAGAAACCTCATTTAAACTGCTATCATTATGGACTTTTAAATCTCCTTCCTACATTTAGTTCTCTGCTTTCTGAATTAAGAAGTACTTAGAATGTAATGACTTACTTAAGATTGCTTGTTCTCTAATGGTGGTTGCAGAGCTGTGCTCTTAAACCACTGTACACAGAGGATATTTTGATCAAGTTGCAGTCAATTGTCTTAAAAAGCCAAAGTCAGAAAGAGCAGTGTGAAAGCATCCAAATGATGGGAAGAGAACCAAACTGTCTTGATTTCCAGTCCTCTCTTTTAATTAAACCACATAATAAAACACAGAGAGAACTACTCCTCTCCTTGGAATAGTGAGATGTATGTTTTCCTTTTCTTTAGCGAGGAAGATCTCTGACTAGTTTTAATAACATTTTTCCTGCTTCATCTGATAAAATCATTTTCCTGTAATGAAATCTAATTTATATTTGCATTCTTGTCTATTCACACCCCCAGATAACAGAAGGTGCTTTTGTTAGATACCATGGACCCCTCTCCGCTTCCTCTGGAACAAAGCCTTCCGACTGAGTTGCTGGTAATGCTGAGCATTTCAACAAAGCAGAAGCAACATCTCTTGTGAACTTGTTAAATAATTAGGAGATACTGCAAGAACTATATGAAAACTATGTAAACCACCCAAGGAAAACATTCATTTAATTACTTGATCTCATATCAAAGTCTTAGAGCTTCACTGTCTTTTTCTGTCACTCCTCCCCAAAGATACTGATTTTACTCAATAGGGAGAAAACTGATAACCTGTGGACATCTGAAATTAACCAGGACAAATTTGATTGCCTTCAGTTAATTTGAGTAGAAAAATACAAAGGTGGCTCTGTAATTAAGCTCCTACTAAATAGGAACCTGTATGTAAGTCTAATGATGGCGGAGACAAACAAAAGAACACGTTTTTACCATCTAACTTGCAGGTGGTGGATGTTGCAGGAACCAGAGATGACATTCCCGTGAAAGAAAACACTTCGGAAAGCAAACTCAAGATTAATTACTGGTTCATTTTGCATAGTGGATTCCTTGATGCCACAAATATTTATTAGGTGTGAGACACTTATTAGACACAGCACAATGAGTTTATTGGAGGTGTGTAATATCTCGTTGGGCAAGCATGGTGACTCTCTGGCACGTGCATCAGTTCAACTTAGTATACCATGAATTTAAAATGATCTTGGTATACCTGGTACCATGGCAACTGTATAAATGACCTGAAAGTTTCTTGGAAAATCATCCATTTATTTTACCTTTCAATTTTATTTTTATAGTGATAGATTCCCCAAAATTACAGTTCTTCACATTTTCTGTATGTTGTCACCCAACACTTCATTATTTCCTTAATGTCATAGAAAAATCTCTTCCTAATTATATTTATTTAAGGATTACCAATATATTGTAGTGTTTATCAATAAAAAAATTAGCTCATGTATACAGATTGTTATGTATCATAAATACATAAAACATTAAGTGAAAAAAGCAGGGTGTGGAAAAGTATTTTGCTATTTGGATAAAAGTTTATATGGTATCTATTTATGGGAATGAGATAAAGGTCTGGAGAAAGAAGCTAGTTTTCATTCCCACCTTTTTTATAGCACTAACATTCTTCACTTGATCTTAGTCAAAAGGCCAAGACGCGATATAGCACTAACATTCTTTGTCACAATGAACATATCAATTCATAATTATTTTAAGTGAATTGAAGAGCATCCAGATGGATATCGAGATGGGGCTCAGCACGCTGGGAGCCTGTTTTCAAGGCACTGTGGTTTCAGCCCTGTAGGCTTAGGTTTCAGTCCCGTGGAACTTGATTATGCTTTTGATAACTGGCAGCATGTCACTGGGGTAGACTGCCAAACACTTAGGGAAAGTCACTTGATCAACTTGTCCTTGGCACAATGGCTATTCTGAAAATAGACATCCTCAAGTGAAATGGATTATACTAAAAACATATTCCTACTGCTTAGTTTAACTTGCTTTTTAAAATGTGGGATTTTTATGTTTTATGGTATGTGAAGAGTTCTGTTTTGCTGTAATGTGAAGAGTTCTATCTGAATTACATTTCACTTTGAGCCCTAGTCTTCCTATGACATTGTATCCTTCTGGTCTGGACTCCCTTGCCCTGGTGCATTTAGAGATTTTCAAGGCTTTGTGGCATACGCCAAACAAGGAAAGATTGCTGCATCTGGAAGAGAAAAGTTGACTGTGTATATGTAGTCAAAATGTTTGCACAAATGTACATGCACATACAAAGCTAGAAAAATCTCTTTGTAATAAAAGTGACATACAGAGTTAACTGTTTTTATATAAAGCAAATTTACAAATTCAACACATGCTAAGAAAAAGGAACAAAGCCTATAAACCAATAGTTCTCAAGAAGGAAATAAGATTCATTCAGTAACTTCATTTCTATTGAGTCTTTGAGACCAGGACATCACATATTTAACAGAGGTGAGACTAATCAGCATTGGAGACTAGCGGGAGAGGATCTCACCTCCTACACATTAGAAACCTCTATCATTACTTTTGGTCTGTGACCAAAGAGAACAACACTGTGGCCTAAAAAAATGGATTTGCTAGGAGCATGGTGATACTTCCCCACTGCTTGGGGGTATCATGTATTGTGCTTGGTTTATTTGTAGCTCTCAGTCACTGCCAGACTTACCTGTAACTGCCAGTAGAACCTGGAACCATACTTAACCTTTGGGCCTCCCTTCTGCTGTGCATCATTTCTATGTGCTTCACTACTCCTGGTTCAGCCCACCTTTCACCTGCCGGCTAAGAACTACTTAGCAATTTAGGAGATAAAGATTGTGGCTGAGAGTAAGGTAAAAGCAATAGGGACAGAAAGAGTGGATAAATTCATGAACCACTTCAGAGACCAGTATAACAGAACCCAGAGTCACAGGGGCTGTGGGTGAAAAAAACACGGAGGAGTAATAGATGACTTCCAGGGTTTTGATGATGTGAGCACCATGGGCACCAGAGTGCCAGTAGCCAAAATAAAAACTAGAGAAATAGTATGAGAAGGACAGAGATTCAGTTCTGAACATGTCAGGTTTGAGGTGTCTGAGAGATAGCAGAGATGTTGCGAAGGGTTTGATTATATTCATCCCGAGTTATGCAAAGAGATTGGGGCAGCAGATACATATTTAGTTGTCATCAACATAAAGATGGGAACTGAGCAACTCATGGGTGTGGATGGGATTGCTTAAGACTTGTTTGCCATGTGAGATGATAAGTGGTTAAGTGGGTCCCAGCTAGAGTCCTGAGTAACCCATAATTTATAGGGCTGGGTCAAAGGAAAGGAGCTAATAAAACAAGATAGAAAGCAAATTGGAGCACTGCCTTTATTCAAAATGATCCCTTTTGCTGTACTAACCTCCGCATCTTCTTTACATGGTAAAATACTGCTCATCTTATGGCTCCTTCACCAGACAAACTTTCTTGATTCATTCTCCATTTCCCTAGGTAGGCCATAAAAATTTCACTGCTCTCTATTCTATGCTTCTATAGCGTGTCAAACAAAAGCAATATTGAAATTCTGAACGTCGCCGCATCTCCCTCCTCCCCACTCCCATCATTTTCTGAGCTAGTAGAGAGTAGGACATAGTAAGAGATTCTAATTTATCTTAGTCTCCGAGCACCAAGCGGCAGCTATGAAATGGCCAATAAACGTTGAATTAATTTTGCTTGCTTGACATGGAAAACTTTCCTTATTCTAACAAGGACCTAGGCCTAGTGGGATATACTAGTCAAAAAAAAAAAATCTGTAAGATTTTAAGAACTTTGGCTTTGTAATGGAATCTATTTTTTGTACAATATTGCAAGTTAATTAGTTTGTTATTATTCATGCCACACCTACTTCCAAAAAGAATTTGAGATAGCTTGCAATGAGTCATCCGAATAATTACTTCTTTAAAAACAGCATGAAAGCATCATGCAAGGGAGAAGGGCGATAACATCATGTGATAAATTGGACCAAGGAAAGTTGCTGCAATTGAGATTAAAATACAGCTTGCACTTTTCAGTAGACCAGGTGAGATGATATTTTATTTGTGAACAGCCCTTGAGTTTTTATGGGGCTTTGTGTAGGTAGAAGACAGCACAGAGCACTACGGAGACCAACTAAAGTTCTGCTATGATGAATTATATTCTCAGTTTGTTTCCAAAGTTGTATGTAAAGTGCTTTAAAGTAACATGTGAATTAAAACAAAATGCAGAAAAAACTTGATAAGTCTTCTTCCATGAAAAGTGGGCATTCCTTTTAGGATCAAAATGTTTTTCATGTTAGATCATAATTGTACTCTTGGAATATGTTGCTTAAGAATATATGATGGTGTAGGAGCAGTAGGAAGGGTAGGGGAAAGGAAATAAGGGAAAATAAAAAAATATGAGAAAAGGAAAAAATGAAAACAAATTCTTTGTAAATAGGGGTGGAGTCATCTGAATAATTTTATCTTTAAAAATGGCATGAAAGCATCATGCAAGGGAGAAGGGCGATAACATCATGTGATAAATTGGACCACGGAAAGTTGTTGCAATTGAGATTAAAATAGAGCTTGTACTTTCTAGTAGAAGGAAGGACAGGGACAAGGGGAAAAAATGAGAACCAAGATCTGTCATGTAAAGGTACACGATCCCAATGATGAATGTAACTGTACATTCAAACTGTACATGCAAACCTAAAGAGTAGCAATAACTCAATGAAGAAAAAAAGAACATATGGTGGAAAAATTACCATAAATTGAAAAACAATTAAATATTTTCTATTTATTAGAAGATAAAAGCAAATGAATATATTTTAAAGAGATGGTACAAAGATCTGCATCTTGTTTAATATAGAGGCATTGCTGGTAAACACATCTGTTTGAAATATTTTTTCACTAATTCCAGAAGTCTTCTAATCAGAACCTGTGGCCTCAGTTAGTGGATTTTCAAAATTATTATTGTGATTAGTTAATTTGTTTAGTTGTAATTAGTTATAGCTCTTTGTTCAAAGCACACATGCTTTGAAGGTCAGCAAATCAGAGCTCTGATTAAGGTTGGAATTGAAGTCTACCTGCTAGAGGTCTGGAAAAGACCTTATCAAAAATCCTACCATCATCCCACCAAAATTATCTTAAAAAGAAAACATGATTAAATCTCACCCATTTTCATGCATGATGATGGGTATCTTGGTATTTAAGATTAGTTTCAGCATATTGATTTAAATAATCATGATTCCATCTTCTTGATACTTCTGGAGTTCAAAAGATATCATTTTGATCAATAATTTCTTTATGTCATCTTTATTTCTTAATATTGGTAGAATGCAGAAGATTTAAGATCCTCTCTCAGTGTGTATTAAATATATCCACAAGCCATCATATCTGTATCATAGCTAAAATCATATACGTGAAGAACAAGATCATCCTTCCTTCCTTTACGAGCCAGCATTTCTGAATCAGAACTCAGTATCATTTTGGGACATCAGCCAGCTCAGGAATTTAGGGATTATCTGTTTGGTGATTTTACATAGATCCTGAACCCTGAGAATGTGCTACTGACTCAAGCAATTTGAGGGCAGAGACAACTTCTTGCTGATCCTTGTGTTTCTGACAGCAAGTAGCACAGTCTGATGGGTCCCT